AGCTTCACCTCAGACGCGGCCAAGTCCTTGCCAGCCGTCCCTCCGTCGCCGTGGCGCGCCGAGCGTGGCGATTCCGCCCGATCCGTCGGCTCAGCTGCCGTAGCGCCCTCGCCGGCGTGAAGAGCCGCGCAGTCATGCAATAATTCTGGGTCGTAATTCAGCGCCGCCATCCAGGGAATAGTGCTCATTTTGTCGGCGCCTTACTCATCGCCGGCGCCGCCTCTCCCGGCGGCGCGGCGCCGCTCGGTCTCCTGTCGGCGACGGGGCGGCACGTGCGGGCGCGCGACGTGCGTCTGGGAACGGCCTGTCGCCGATTGACCTGGTGGTGACGGATCCTGGCATTGATCGCCGAGGTCGGTGCCGCCAGCACGGGGTGTGGCACCGCCGATTCAGCCCGATGCCGGATCCGACTCATCGGCCGCCAAATCAGTTTTCCATTCAAGGCTTCGGGCACGGCTGAAACGGACTCGGCAACGTATTGCTCGCGGTGTCAGCCGCCGCCGGCGACTCACGCCACAGAATATACGGAGGCCGCTGCGGGAGTGGGTGATCTGCTGTTTACACGGTGCATTACCAGCACACAACAAGGGGGGGGGGGGCAAAGGACGACGGGCGTTCAGCACTGGGCGCCGGTATAAATGCATATCTTAAGAAAATATAGCCCGAAGCACACGGGTGGCTCCGTCGTCGCTGATGAACGGGCCGAGCTGCCGCAAAAACATGATTTGATGCCAAGACCATTTCCAGCGGTGGTTCAGACTTATGTCTAACAGGGAACGGAACGTTGAATTCAGGCTTCGACGCCCAATACCGGTGTTTAACTAAACGCAGGATTTCCTGCTAGGATTTGCAGAGCGGGTGCACGCCATATCACGTATATTCAGGTTTCAGTTTGTGGAACAACTGATCGGGACATCAGGCCATCATTGTTCCCTGTTCAATGTAAGCACACATACATGTCTGGAAAAACCGCTATTACGCTAAAATGTGCCGACCGACGGGACATCTGAAATCGAAGGCATTGAACTTGCTATGAGCAATTTGATCACTGTCGATAAAAATAAGAATGTGCCATGGTTCGTAAGGTACAACCTTGCTCAGCTCTGCTGTTACTCAGGATGCTTTGCGCCTGTTAACTAGCCATGCATCCAACCAACTCACGTTTGCCCTTGCATGGCTCAACTCGGAAATGGAGAATAGCTTATCTAGTTTGGCTACAGTCCTCGACGAGTTAAGATGTCTCTGACTTTGATTCTGAATAACCATAGGGTGTGACTCAAGAATGTGTAGCCCACGTTCAAGTTTTGTATCATTGGTGTGGGTATTGTTCGAACAACGCAGCTCCAACCTTTGTGGCATGTGCGACATTCGTGGTTTGTACGCATTGACATCAGAGTCCAGTCTTCCAACAAGTGTCCCGAAGAAGATGGCCAACTTGACCTCCCCCCCTAAAATGTATAAGTTGCATCAGCGTAAAGTCTATTTATATTTGGCACATCAGGCACAGTGTCAAGAACATCATTTGTTAAATACCTGGGTGCTCATCTACGCTGCACATATGTCTTAAGAAGACTTTGATTTTGGACATAGCACAGGCTTATCGATCTCATGTTTTGCCGAAAACGTAACGTTAACCACAAAGGTTTTACGAAAGCAACATCAAATCGTCGGCGTTCACTGAGCATATGGCTGACCCAGTTTTACCTCTGGCTCGCTGAAACTTTACATTGATAATTTACATCTAGATTTCATTCAAATTGGGCTGTACGCGGGTTCGATTCCAGGGGTGGTGAAACGCGCCGACTCGGTGGATAAGGTTGGCGATAAAAATGTATATCTTCACGCGCCGCCTGGTGCCAAAAATGTTTTTAACTGAGATTTTGTTATCGGCAACGAACAGATATTACAGCACGCACTGCACAACCTAACTTGAGGTCTCCGTGGTAATACATTTCTTCACATAATGCCTGAAAGTCTTTCCGTAAAGACCCCTTAGCATACCTTACGGCGCCATGGTATCCTCTTTACGTTTCATCCCATCCGGGCGACGAGATTAAAATATGGTTTAAGGTTGGTCGCTCGACTCAGTGACAGACCGACGACAAATCAGGGTATTTCCTATGCTTCGGCCAATTTGCCAATTCGCTGTTTTTTACCGGGGCGACTCTCAGTGTTCCAAGCTATACCTTACAAAATACTCAAGAAATATAGATATGGCGGTTCATCTGGTCGCAAGAGCATGTTTCACTATCTGCGATGTTCATTGCACTGCTACTTTGAAAGCGGCATTCGCATTGCAGCTTCATTAATACCCACGTGAGTCTGTTCTTTGGGCCCTGCTGATTTTTTGGACCATGCCGCTACCCAACATCCTGTCCTCAGCGACGAGATGCATTGACAGCCAGAGGGAAGTCGACGAGCTGAGCCGATCGAGGTAGACATTTGCCTGTGATTTAGCTTCTCACGTTCGATTAGCACGGAAACCACAAAATTGGTGGCTGCAAAAGAGCTGCCTGGCACCTGTTCGAACCAGCCCAGGTCTCGCCCTCCCAGCGTCGTGACGGCAACGTACATCGTTTGGCAGAGGAGAGGACGGGCAACCGGGCTGGCGAACGTGTGGCTTGGCGCGTGCAGCCGGTCGCGGGGTATCGAGAACCAGCATACGATCCGGCCGTGTGTTGACCTTTTCAACGATCGATGCCACGTATGTCTGGGAGCTAGAGCAGACAGAGTGGTGAGCCCAGAAGCATGGTCTGCGTAAACATACACTGCCAATCGATGGCTGATACCAAATTTGCATATCAAGAACGACACCAAGAATGGACTAGGAAGAAATCAGGGTCGCCTTTTCCAACTTTTATCGCGGTGTAAACTGAGAGCGACTTGATGGCGTGTAGTGCAGTTTACGGAGGTCAATTTCCAATCAAAATGAGCGCGCTGTAGCTCAAGCTAATCATCAAAATGTAAATCATTCAACAAGCATGGACTTCGTTGTCTGAAATGGGGAAGTCAATGTCTATCCTTTTTAAGAATGATACTTTGCAAATTAACGCCCAAGCGTTTATATAGTCAGCTTTTGCCCGCAACGCCGTAAATAATGTTTTCCCCGCTTTTCATTCAGTATAGACAGACATTCTAACGACAACTCATCATTGTATAAATTTCCGAACATGCAAGTGCAAAATATGATGGAAGTTTACCAGTTTTCTGCCCGTACGCACCGCACAAGGCACCCTGCTGGCTTCTTATCATTTGTTATCGTCGGCCGGTCAGATTGGTTAAAAAAGCTCACGCTCGTGCTCTAACAAACCACATTGCTAACGTCAGTGTAAGAGCCCTGTACACACGCAGAACAGAACTGGTTGAAACCAAAAATGCCACCATTTGCATTCAAGGGATAACTTGGGATAACTTGAAGTGATCCGGGGTTATTCCATGGACTTTGGATGACTTTGCACTTATCTCCGGGGTCAACGAAGTTCCCCCAAGTTGGGGAGCCGATGGCCATTTTTTAACACTTATGTCCAGTCAACGCCCAAAGGATTAATTTTAAATTTTCAGACAGCTGGCAGTCAATGTCCTACTGCCGCCTCCTCCTCCCTCTGGTTCCCACGCCCCTGCTTGAAAGATCTATCTACGGCCTCGTATTGCTGCTTTGTCTAGTTTCTACCGGCAGTGCTTCAGCTAATTCAAGGGCCTGGCCCGGAGTGGGTGTTGCCGTTACATTGTTACAGCGTAGCCGTCCGCCAATGGCCAATGACCGCTACACTGATACCGACGGACAACATTCGAGCTTTACGGTATATAGCTTTTGGGTGGCACGTTGACGTGAAGTTCATTCGATATTCGATTTTTGTGAACACGATTTCGTGTGACCTGTACAAATGTGGAGGAAATTGACGCTGTTCATTATGTTGTAGCTCGACGCCAACAGAACTCAACATGCAAGATCAAGCGGCGAATGCGGTAGGAAGAATAATTTGGGGATCGCCGCTTACCTTCATTTTGTGTTGAAGATTGTTCGGGAAGAGATCATGCGTCAACGGTCTTATTTGGAAAAAATAGAGGTTTTAGATTGGATCCAAAGGTAAAATATATGGGGCCGTACAGAATGCAATCGTGGCACGACGACGGAATAGTAAAACGGCCGCATATGGGCAGATTATAAAGGGAAATGCATTACAATCTAAGTGTATTTTATGAACCTCAACCTACCCAGGCGTTTGTTTGATTAATGTGCGCGAATGCACACGTCATCTACTTAAGATCAATTTAAACTTGCATCATTGCTTACTTGTTTTCTTACGAACTGACTTCACAGTCGTTTGTGAACATGGCAATAACCCTTTTACACAGAAAGTGAGCATCTTCTAAAGCCGGTGCTGGAATATTCCCCACCCTGCGATAGCCTCAGACATCAATGCATGGTATTAGATTCCTCCATATTAAAACATTCAAAGAAATGGCATATTTGCCAGTGCTGCTTCTGGCATTGTTATTTGCATGTCAGAAAAACTAAGGACGGGTCGGATGTTATTGCACGGCTTTTGGGATCTAACTGTTGCCCACGTCACGACCCGGTTGTGTTATGATGACTCTCTACTCAACGCTAGCATCCTAATGATTTGGGTACAATTACGCACATCGTCAGCAACTAAAACAGCGTGCTTGCAAGAAGATTACAGTTGCAACCGTATAGCCTGCCTGAATATTCAAACAGCTTTTTGGTTGGAAAGGTATTATGGGATTGAGAAGCGAGTTATGGCTTGCCGGGCCATGGCCGAACCAGCCAACCCGAAAATTATGCCATTTTTCACCCAAAACTCGGCAGCTTTGCTTGTAAAATTGCAATTGCGCTGCCGGCAAACACAAAAACGACATGATAAGACGTAGGAACCACGACAGCTTAGGCTGCCTTTCGTAGTGGCCAGTAAGTAGTTTAATGAACTGCAGACGTTAACCAACTGGACGCACTTGTGTGTTCCTTCTCCTCAGCTCACCTGCCGCGACCACTGAGACCTCGTGCGTTTAGAACTGGGCGACGGTCGAAGCTCCTGCCTCCGCTCCGGAGAAACTCTCACGCTGACGAAAATCCGCGCACAGTCCAGTCGGTCACGCGACGGTCATCACGTCACCGCTGCTTCCGTCTTCACCCACGCCGCAACCGGCGTCCAGCGTTGTCCGTCACAACGCCTGGTCTTCAGCGCCGACCGTTTCAGCTCCAGCCCGCAGCACTGGCCGTCACAGTCGTCCACCGTCAGCACGGCCCGTCACAGTCGTTCACCGTCAGCACGGCCCGTCACAGTCGTTCACCGTCAGCACGGCCCGTCACAGTCGTCCACCGTCAGCACGGCCCGTCACAGTCGTCCACCGTCAGCACGGCCCGTCACAGTCGTCCACCGTCAGCACGGCCCGTCACAGTCGTCCACCGTCAGCACGGCCCGTCACAGTCGTCCGCCGTCAGCGCGGCCCGTCACGGCGCTCCGCCACCAGCGCGGCACGTGACGGCGCGCACGGTCGCCGGGTGACAGTGCCGGCTGCCGGCGCGCCCGTGCCGGCCGCCGTCGCCGGCGCCGTCGGCCGTCGGTAACGACGCTTCGCAGCCGACGGAGCCGACCGCCGCCAACGGGCCGCTTATTCATACCGGCCGCCTTTGTGGCCGGGGCGGACGGTGCGCCGGCCGGCCTGCCATCAGCAGCCGAGGGGTTGCCGTCCCTAATCGTCCGGGTGCAGCGGGGTGGGCTGGCGGGCGGGGAGAGGGACGCCCACTGACAGCGGGGGACATAATCGGAGAACTGACGCAACATTTCGGTTCTGCGGTGCCAGCAGCTGGTGCTCAGTCCATACCACGGCTCTTGAACGGTGTCCTTGATGATAACGCCGATACTCTACCGGTAAGCACCGGGGCACGGTTGTCTGCGCTGCATGCCTGGAGGGGTGGCGACAGCGTCGGAGCCAGCAAAGCTTTGCAGGCCTTGTGACAATTCCCGTGCAGCCTGGGAGCCGCCGTACAGATTTCGACACCGCGTTTTAGAAAATTATTGCGAATTTTGGAAACTGTGGGGACATTTATAAAAAAACTAACGGCGTTTGAATCCTCTCGACGGAGTCTACGTTTCTGAAAAATATGGCGGTGGTGTTATTGGAGAGAGGCCACAAGCGGTAAAAGTGGTTAAGAAGTAGGTCCCGCGCATCGCATGCCTCAACCTTTTGATAGTTGATTTTGCTGGTAGTTGATCGAAACTGATAGTTGATTTTTGATAGTTGGTTTTGATTTTGATACTTGTCAGTTGATAGAATGCTTCATACCGTTTAAGGCTGTTGTGTTCCAGATAACAAAAACAAAAATATTATCTAATTTCTGGAGGCACCTTTTCTCAAAGTGCCTTTTCCTTTTTCAGCTTCACAAGCTCATCTTTTTCCAGCATTATTCTATCTCAGTGTCAAAGTGCTGGCATAGTTGTGACATCCAATGTTATGACGCCTTATGCTCCTCTGCAACCCTTTTCACGTAGCCGAAACACGCTTTTGTTGCCACGCATCGTGATTGTGCAAATGTCAGCTTGAAAGCAAAGATTACATCTAAATACAGGGGAGCATTCTGTTATCCTGCTTTGTCTATCCGTATTGCACTCCCCAATATTAAGAAACTTTTTCGGATCCCCGGGTAGCCTATGTCATGCTACTACGCTCTGACCCAATAACCAAACCCTTGACTCAAACGCCTTATTTACCGGCAGCACGAGCTATCCGTGCAAACGGAAGGCGATGCATATCATCTCGGGACACGATCTTGGCATGAACGCCAAATGTCAATGAATGATGTGCCCCAATACCGGGCGCTAAGGCAGTCGCTGCGCCCTATGGTATAAATCCCGCCAGAAATTTGAAAACATCGCGTAAAATTGATGGTAAATAAAATTACAAAATAATCGAATGACTCGCTCCAAACCATTTCGGGGACGCCATCGAGAAACAAGCCAACAGAGGGGCCAAATCCACCCACCTTCCCCCGCACCACACACACACCACTCGCAACCCCACCCCTTGCTAGGAATAAGGTTAAACATAGATGCCAGTAAACGGAGACCGAAGAGGAGCCCTTGCGTGATTTTTTATACTTACGATGACAGACGACAGCGATGATGGAAAGCGATGTCTAGGCCACGCCCTGCTCTATAGTCACTGTGGTGAGCTTGACTGCAAGTACCAACCGTTTTGGCCAGTGCAGTGGCTATCAGCAGTATGCAGAGTGCGGCGCCGAGCAGCTCCTGGACGTCGTCAAGGATCGATTCCCAGGGACCCAACAAACAAACGTGATAGAGCCCCGCTGCAGAGGTCCTTAGCCGGCTGGCTGCCCGGGTGTGACGACATTAGCATGCCGTTTGGCCGCCGGCGCGTCTGGCGAGCCGTCCTCCGCCTGTCAACACTGGGCGCCGGCTGACCGCTGCACATCTGCACCACGGGTCAAGCGGGGGCGGCTGCGGCCGCAGGGCGCCGCCATCGATCCGGGCCGCATCGGCAGCGACGACACGACGGCCCGATCGTGCGCAATCAGGCACGCGACCGGGCGCCATGCGGCCAGAAACGACACGCTAGCCGCTCCAGCGCGCCGGACGTCAGGAACACCGCGCGCCACTCCGCTCTGTTACACAGAGCTCCGCGCGGGACGTCAGGAACACCGTGCGCCACTGCACTCTATTACACAGAGCTCCGCGAGGGACGTCACGAACACCGCACGCCACTCTGCTCTGTTGCACAGAGCTCCGCGCGGGACGTCAGGAACACCGTGCGCCACTGCGCTGTGCTACACAGAGCTCCGCTCCGCTCCGTTTCGCGACGTTGGACACATCAGGCCACTCTGCTCTTTGTGCTCTGGACGTTGAAAATGGCAAGCCATCTCTGTCCATATGCGCTGGACGTTGGAAACACAGCTCCACCCCGCTTTGATACACAGCGTCAGCGAGGCTGAGTGGCGAGCCGTCCTGCCACTCGCTTCGCCAGAAACACAGCGCCACCCCGCTGCTCTGATACACAGCGTCAGCGAGGCTGGGTGGCGAGTCGTCCTGCCACGCGCTTCGCCAGAGACACAGCGCCACCCCGCTGCTCTGATACACAGCGTCAGCGAGGCTGGATGGCGAGCCGTCCTGCCACACGCTTCGCTAGAAACACAGCGCCACCCGGCTCCATTAGACTGAACGCCAGCAGCGTCCCGCCATCATGCCATATTAGAATGTACGTCAGTGGCATTACATCACGCTGTCGTGATAAACTACACGTCATCTCGCTGTCATGATAAACCGCATGTCAGTCTGGTCATGCCACCTAACTCAAATGCACTGAATTTCAGTAACGTTCCGCATCAAGCCCAAGAAGACTGGACGTCAGTGCCACACGTCAGCCTGTTGTACACCGTGCGTCGGAAACAAAAACCGCTTTGTTCAAATATACCGCACCTCGGTGACGTGACGCCATTTTGCCGCAGTGGACTGTGCGTTGACAACCAAGCCGCCCTGGTCTGCAAACTGCAAGTCAGAGATGTTCCTGCACCCCACTCTGACGAGTGCTCCGGAAGCTCCACCCTGCCCTATACGGCAGTCGTTCATGTCCATGAGGCCACCCCGTTCCATTACACTGTAATTTAGTGATGCTAAACTGCAGTGCTTTGATTTCCTGCACGTTTATAACGTCGCGTCTCCTCGCCGTAGTTGGCTGTGCGTTGAAAAGCACACCACCATGCTACAATAAACTGCGTGTTCGTGAAGTCACGCTACAATGCTTTATTGGGCTGAACGTCCTACCGCCCTGCTTTATTATGCTGCACATCAGTAATGTCATGGTATCCCACTGCCGCATGCAGTACGTTAGAAACACCACGCCACCCTCCTCTGCAACACGGCACGTCAGTAACGTCACACCGCGCTGCTTTAGCACGATCCATTTGGGCAACTTTCATCACGTGATAGTACACTGCATATCCGTAGCTTTAAGCCAAGATTCTTTGATACACAAGGTTGCTAACAACATGTCACCGTGCTTAATAAATTGCGGCAGTAACGTCGTGCTATTCCGCCAGAAGTACCGCTTCGTTGATTCACAGCGTCAGTATCCTCTCGCCACTCCACAGTAATGCACGGAGTCAATGCCATTGCGTCTTACTGCGCCACCACACCGCACTCGATGACACCACATAACAGTGCTCAGACATACTGCAACAGAGACATCACGCCACCCTGCCCTAATGTCAGTAACATCAGTAACGCCATACAACTCACGCACGTCAGGGCGATGAAACATAGCGTCCCTATATTGCGTCCGAAATGTCATGCTAGCCTGCCGCATTTCTCCAAGATATGCCGACCCGGGTTGGGTTGCTCATTTGCGACTGAAATATTTCGGAAACCATCATAAAACATGAACGCACAAAATGCAGGGTGATAAAACATTGCTTTCTATGGTCATAGATAAAACGTTAAATGATCACTGAAACCCATTTCATTCTTTGCATCTATCATGCATAGCATGCATTATGCTATATAAGAATCCGGTTATTCTTCCACCATCATGGCACGTCAGTGAGCTAGGCTTCATGGAAGAGATTGGCCGTAATATGTAAGCTATAGATCGAGGATAAGACAGAGAGTAAGCATGCCGAGCAGGAAATAGGAATTGTGGGAGTTTAATGGAGAGGAAGCCGGGGCGATGCATCACCAGCCACTGAGCACCGCACTCAACAAGTTGAAAGGAAGATAAGCGAAATGACGGGGCATAGAAGAGCAATGCAAACCTCATTCACGAACCACACTGTGATGAGAGAAACGCAGAAATTCCAGTGGCGATTACATTACTGACTCCACAACAGACTATCTGTTTTTTGCTCACCACAAGTCATTTTAGGGTTTCTCGTGAAAGGCAATGTTTTTGTCCGTTCCAAACTGCCTCGCGTTTTTCTTTGTAAACAATAACAGAAAGGTGAACAGTTTGTCGAAAGGAAGCCATCGCTCAGCCAGCATTTGTTTCGCGACGGGAGGGGCGAATAACAGAGTTTTGAGAGAGCCGTTTGTCTATCAGCTGCAGCGGGCTATCATGTACCATAATTGCTGATTTTAATATTCAAGAATCCTTCCCAATTTTGTACTCCTGTTTTGACATGTATTTTTTGCCGACTTTTACGTCAAGTTCGCTTGCTCGCCCCTCTTACTCTGTCTTTCACCTTTTCTTTCTTTATCTCCATCCTCTTTTTGTCTTCTTCCTTCCCTTCTTTTTTCTAATCCTCTTCCTCTTCTTCTTCTCCCTTTCTGTCCCCCTCTCTCTTCCCTCT